AATGTGCCAACAAACAAAAGAAAAAAACAATCCTGGCGAAGGACCCGACCATGCGCAGTTGTGAATACCGCAATTCTGAATATCATCTTTGCCCGCGCCCCCTATGGGGCCACGAACCGCGCGAGGGGTTCGCCGAGGTGCGCGGCGGGGCACGCGACGCGAGCGAAGACGATAGGTCTGCGTGCGAGAGACTGAGCGCGAGTGAGTCTGATTGTGAATGAGTCCGCGTGCGAATCAGTCCACGCGCATGAGCGTCGACGCCCATGTCGGCGCGCTCCTCCCGAGGATCGCGCCCGCTTCCTTCCCGTTTTCTTTCTCTCTCTCTCTCTCTCTCTCTCTCTCTCTCTTTGCCCGTGCGCGCCCACGTCCGAGGCCGTCTTCTTTCCTCCCTCGTCGTTGTCGTCGTCGGCGTCGCCGTCCTTCCTCCTTCGTCGTTCGCGTCGTCGCCGTCTTCCCTCCTCCCTCGTCGTTGTCGTCGTTGTCGCCGTCGTCGTCCTCCCTCCTCCCTCGTCGTCGTCTTCGTTGGCGACGTCGTCGTCGTCTTCGTCGTCGTCGTCGGCGTCGGCGTCGTCGTCGTCGTCGAAGTCGTCGGAGACGTCGTCGGTGTCGTCGTAGTCGTTGTCGTCGGTGTCGTCGTAGTCCGTCTTAAGAGGTTTTGCAAACCAAGTTGCGGGTGGGTGGGTGGGATGTTTACAAGAGCGTGGGATGTGTCAAATCATGGGTCAAAAGTAGTTCTCCTTTCTTTCTAAAGAAAGAATAGACTCTATCCCCCCCAGCAATATCGGTCCTCTTTTCGGGTATGTAAATCGTACATGATTCTGACCACATGTCCATCCTAAATATGAATTTACAGTAGCCCAGGGGAACCGGTATCGGTCCCCCTGAGGTTCCCTTGTAAAAAAACAATACGCGGGGACATTTGTTGTTTAACATAAGACTTTGTTCACGAATCCCTTGCAAAAAATATGACGAAGTGCACACGCGCGCGTCGTCGCGCGCGCATGCCGAAATCCTTCAAAAACCTTCGGTGTCGGAGGGATTTCGCAATCGAGTTTCCCAAAAACACCAGGTTTCGCAACACTGATTTGCTAAAAAAGCTTACGCGCGAGCTCTTGCGAAATCTTAAGAAAACCATAAGTTGTTCTAGATTTCCACAAAATGCTACCAAACGGGCTTCGCGCGCGCGCATGTCGAAATCTGTCGCACGCCCTTGCGCGTGTGCCGTCGCGAGAGTCCTCCGCAAAAAATGGGACGAAGTGCAGACGCGCGCGTCGTCGCGCGCGTACGCCGAAATCCTTCAAAACCCATCGGCGTCAGAAGGATTTCAACATCGTGTGTCCAAAAAACCTACAAAAACACAAGGTTTCGCAACACGGATTTTCAACAAAAGCGTGCGCGCGCACTCTTGCGTCGTCGTCGTCGTCGTCCTCCCTCCTCCCACCTCGTCGTCGTCGTCGCCTACGTCGTCCTCTGTATTTCCTCGTGTTCTTCGTCGTCGTCCTCTTTGGCGTCGTGGTCGTTGCCGTAGTCGTTGTCGCTGTGGTCGTCCTTCCTCCTCCCTCGTCGCCGTCGAGGTCGTCCGTCGTCGGCGTCTCGTCGTCGTCCCTCCTATTTCGTCGCCGTCGTCGTCGTCGTCGTTGTCGTCGTCGTCTTCCATCCTCCCTCGTCGTTGTCGTCGTCGGCGTCGCCGTCCTTCCTCCTGCTTCGTCATTCGCGTCGTCGCCGTCCTCCCTCCTCCCTCGTCGTTGTCGTCGTTGTCGTCGTTGTCGTCGTTGTCGCCGTCGTCGTCCTCCCTCCTCCCTCGTCGTCGTCTTCGTTGGCGACGTCGTCGTCGGCGTCGGCGTCGGCGTCGGCGTCGTCATCGTCGTCGTCGTTGTCATTGTCGTCGTTGTCAGCGTCAGCGTCGTCGTCATCGTCGGTGTCGTCGTCGTCGTCGTCGTCGCATGCCGAAATCCTCCAAAAAGCTTCGGTGTCGGAGGGATTTCGCAATCGAGTTCCCAAAAAGCATACAAAAACACAGGGTTTCGCAACACTGATTTGCTAAAAAAGCTTACGCGCGAGCTCTTGCGAAATCTTAAGAAAAAAATAGGTTGTCCAAGATTTTCACAAAATGCTACCAAACGGGCTTCGCGCGCGCGCATGTCGAAATATGTCGAACGCCCTTGCGCGTGTGCAGTCGCGAGAGTCCTCCGCAAAAAATGGGACGAAGTGCAGACGCGCGCGTCGTCGCGCGCGTATGCCGAAATCCTTCTAAGCCATCGGCTTCGGAAGGATGTTAACATCGCGTGTCCAAAAAACCTACAAAAACACAAGGTTTCGCAACACGGATTTTCAACAAAAGCGTGCGCGCGCGCTCTTGCGTCGTCGTCGTCGTCGTCGCCGTCCTCCCTCCTCCCGCGTCGTCGTCGTCGTCGCCTACGTCGTCCTCTGTCTTTCCTCGTGTTCGTCGTCGTCGTCCTCTTTGGCGTCGTGGTCGTTTCCGTCGTTGTTGTCGCCGTGGTCGTCCTTCCTCCTCCTCCCTCGTCGTCGTCGTCGTCCGTCGTCGGCGTCTCGTCGTCGTCCCTCCTATTTCGTCGCCGTCGTCGTCGTCGTCGTCGTTGTCGTCGTCGTCTTCCCTCCTCCCTCGTCGTTGTCGTCGTCGGCGTCGCCGTCCTTCCTCCTTCTTCGTCGTTCGCGTCGTCGCCGTCCTTCTCTTCCCTCGTCGTTGTCGTCGTTGTCGTCGTTGTCGCCGTCGTCGTCCTCCCTCCTCCCTCGTCGTCGTCTTCGTTGGCGACGTCGTCGTCGTCGTCTTCGTCGTCGTCGTCGGCGTCGGCGTCGTCGCCTTCGTCGTCGTCGTCGCCGCCGTCGTCGTCGTCGCCGCCGTCGTCGTCGTCGTCGTCGTCGGCGTCGTTGACGTCGTCGTCGTCGGTATCGTCGTCGTCATCGTCGGCGTCGTCATCGTCGTCGTCGCTGTCATCGTCGTCGGCGTCGGCGTCGGCGGCGTCGTCGTTGTCGTCGGTGTCGTCGTCGTCGTCGTTGTCGGCGTCGTCGAAGTCGTTGGAGACGTCGTCGGTGTCGTCGTAGTCGTTGTCGGCGGCGTCGTCGTCGTCGTTGTCGCTGTCGTCGTCGGCGTCGCTGTCGTTGCCAAGTACCATTTGGTACCCACCGTCACGGTCTTAAGAGATTGTGCAAACCAAGTTGCGGGTGGGTGGGTGGGATGTTTGCGCGGGCAGTGGAGTGGACAACTCACTGCGAACAGAAATTAGTTGCACAACATAGATTCCCCTTCCTAGAAAGAGAATAGACTCGCCACACCCCGCCCCGTGATTATCGGCCCCTTTTCTCGCATTGCAATGTATATACGTTTCTGCCACATCGTCCATCCGAAATATGAATTCGTACCACCCCAGCCCAACCGGCATCGCCCACCCCGTCATCCTTTGCAAAGATACGATGCGCGCGCACTCGTTTATCAAAAACCAGTAGTTTCCAATAACTCCTTGCAGAAAATGAGACGAAGTGCACACGCGCGCGTCGTCGCGCGCGCATGCCGAAATCCTTCAAAAACTTGCGGTGTCGGAAGGATGTCAAAATCGAGTGTCCAAAAAACATATTAAAAACAAATGGTTTCGCAACACGGATGTTCAAAAAAGCTTGCGCGCGTTGTCTTGTGTTTTTTTGAGACAACCATTAATTTCTCAACATGTTACAGAAAGTTCTACCAAATGGGTTTCGCGCTCGCATATCGAAATCGTTCGAACGCCCTTGCGCGCATACCGTCGCGAGAGTCCTTTGCAAAAAATGAGACGAAGTGCGCGCGCGTCGTCGCGCGCGCATGCCGAAATCCGTCAAAAACTGTCGGTTGCGTAACGATGTCAGAACCGAGTGTCCAAACAACATACAAAAACAAATGGTTTTGCAACATCAGTTTTCCAAAAAGCGTGCGTCGCGCTCTTGCGAATTCTTGGAAAAACCATCGGTTATTCAGCATTGGCATTGAATTCTGCCAAGCGGGAATCTGGCACCGAATGCCGACATCATTCGCACGCCCTTGCGCACGTGCTGGGAGGGGCACGATCCGTGTCAAATAACCCATGCGGGCCGCTCTCGCGCGTCGGCCGGGCGCGCATGTCGAACTTTGTTCAAAACCTTCATCACCGACGCGAGGACGCCGTCATCTTCGACGGCGTGATCAGCATCGGCGCCCGCACTGGCCGCGCCGTCGATGTTGTCAACATCGCCATCAGCATCGCTACTATCGTCATCGCGTCTACCGTTGTCGACGTTGCCATGATACCGCTCCCGCCCAGGTCGCCGACTCGCAGTGAAGTGTCCACTGGGATGTGCCCAGCGGTCAGCGCCACCGCGGCCGCGTCGGTCGCGTCAAACTCGCTGGCCGCTGCGCGCGCGCTTGGGTTGGCGCGGCCGCAGAAATGGACCAGGTAACGACAATCACTCATCGCAATCGCCACCGCATGGGTTTTGCACGCCAAGTTGCGGGTGGGTGGGTGGGATATTTGCAAGAGCATTGGATGTGTCAATGCGCTTCTGAAAATCATCGCACCACATAGATTGCAAGACTTACACAACTAGAAACGCATTGGTTGGGGTCCACGCAGGCTGACCTATATATATATATATATATATAAATAAATATACATACATACATACATACATACATACATACATACATACATACATACATACATACATACATACACATCTACATATACAAATACACATACACATACACAAACACATACATATACATATACATATACATGCACATGTACATGCATAAATACAGGCGTGTCTATACACATGTATACGCCGATGTACATTTATCTATACATATGCATATACATGTACATGCATAAATACATGCATGTCTATACACATGTATACACCTATGTACACACGTCTGTCCGCCAAGATCTGGGCCCCAGGCCCGGCTCGGGCCTGCGGAGTCCCAGCGGTGGCCGTGTTCCCTTCACCCAGCTGCTGCCCCCCCCCACCGTGAGGCTGGGCCTCCCACGTTTGAGCGGGAGGAGAACGACCCGCAGGACCCCCATCCGCCCCTTTCCGCCCTGGCGGTCGAGGCCCCCCCGTGTCGAGGGCCGCTCGTTCTGCTTTTCCTTGTTTCGCGGACGCTGGGGCGACTTGGAGCTGATCTTCGCTTGCTCGACGTGCGGAGGCTCAGGCACGGACCACTTCCGCCCGACCGGCAGGCTTGCCAAAGAGTGCGAGCCCCCCGCGCGCGCGGGGCTCGAATACTTGAAGGCTTTGGAGGAAGGACGGGCTCCAGGCCGCACCAAGTCGGCGAGGGAAGGCAACGTCCTGAGGTGATCGTGGAGGGAGCGCGCAGCGCAGAGGCTAATCTCCAATCCTCCTCCTCCTCCTCCTCCTCCTCCTCAGCATCCTCAGCATCCTCCTCATCCTTCTCCCTCCTCCTCGTCCTCCCTCCCTCTCCCTCTCCCTCTCTCTCGCTCTTTCTCTTTTTCTTTTTCTCTCTCTCTCTCTCTCTCTCTCTCTCTCTCACTCCCTTGCTCTCTCTCTCTCTCTCTCTGTCTCTCTCTCGCTCTCTATCTCTCTCTGCACCGTTGAGTCGACGCGCCCTTCACGGCAGTCGCCCTCGGCTGCGGGGCGGGGGGGCACCAGAGGGTTGGGACGGCCAGAGTGCCGTGGAGGCGGAGAGGGAGCGGGGTGGTACGGTAGGTTCATGCGGCGATGGCGCGCCGGCGGCACTGGCGAAGGCGTTCAAGATTGAATTCTGCGACGTTGAAGCATCGATGGACACGGTGACGCCATTGGACTCGACGGAATTCAACGTTGAACGATCGGGGCCGCGATCGATTCAACGTTGAACGATCGACGCGGTGTCAAAAACCTTCACGCGTGCCGACGCCGCGCGAACCGACCGTACAGGTGAGCGACGCCAGAAAGAGGGTCCGACTGCGCCGACATTCGCGCGTAAGCTGCCGGCGTAAGATCGCGCGTAAGCGCCCTCGTCTCCAATGCAGCGTGCCACGCCGGAGGCCCGCGCAAACCGCGGCGCCAGGTCGCTACGTCATTTTGCACGTAAGACCAGTTTTTGTTTCGCCGCGCAGGTGAGGAATGGAGGTATTCGCTGGAATTCGCTGGTCACCACCATGTGGCAGCGAACTCACCGGAAGAGAGATCCGGGAGGGCCGCTTCGGGGGCTGGCTTCCCGCCCGATGATGCCATCCTCACGGCCCTGCGTGGCCGACGAGGGGCCCTTGCGGCCAGGGAAGTGGCCCTGCTGACCAGATGAAAGGAGGGGATGGGACGGGAGGGAGGCGAGGGGGATGGAGGAGCAAGAAAAACGGCAGAGGGGAGGAAGGAGGAAGAGGACGCGAAGTAGGAGAGCGAGAGCGGGGGGGGTGGAGAAGGTGCAGATATATAGAATTATTGACAGTGCGAGTCCGTCACTGCTGGATTTCTTGGCCACCGGCGTGCCCCCTCATGGTAAAGGGGGGAAGGGGTCGGTATCGTTTAAACAATCCCCATCCCTATCCCCTTCGAGACCCCCACCAAATTACCACCCCAGTTGGGGATACACCCCTCGAAACCCGAAGGGAACGACCTATATCCCCATCTAGGGGGGTAAATCGGCTGGTGGGGCCCAGGCCACGCCATTGGGGATGGGGATCGGTTAAACGATACTCAAGGGGGGGCTCAACCAACACATGCCCAGCGCCGCCCGAGAGCCCGCTGGGCACCGCGCCAGATGCCCAGACAATGGGTACGTTTAAGTCGGGCCTGTCCCTCTACAAGAGGAAGATTCAAAAATAGTCGAAAAATAGTATGTGGACGATTTTTTGACTATTTGTTTGACCATCTGGGAGCATTTTGGGGGGATCTTTTATTTTTCGTCGAAAATCCCCCTGTAGGGGGACATGCCCGACTCCAGGGTAGGTGGGTTGCGCCAGTCCCAGGCCAAGAGTCGTGATCAGTAATCTCGGCCAGGCCGTGCCTCTGCTCCAGCAGGGGAAGGGGGCGAAGCTTACGACACAGTGTCGCGCAAAACGGCGCACCATTTCAAGAGCAGGCTCATCGAGGCAACTCGATCACCCTCCCCCCCATCACGCTGTCCGCTATCCTCACCCCAGCCCCATCTGTCGGAACTGCCGTGCAAGGCTACAAGCAGCGAGCGGGAAAGGACGTCGAGGGAGGGAGGCAGCACCGACGATCGGGATCAAGGGGGGAGTGTCGGCGCCCCGCAGCAGGGATGCAGAGGCCTGGAGAGCGTGGGGTCGACGAGGGAGGGCAGGGGCGAGCAGGGAGGAGGCAGCGGTGAGCCCAGACAAGGGGGAGAGCTTGCTGCCATCGTCGTCAGGGGGAGGATCGGGCCGACGGGGGGGCCGCCACACGGGCCACAGCGGGCCCCTTTCACACCCCAAGGACTGCGCCGGCATTGGCCCCCTCCACACACCCACCACAGCGCCAGCGCGCGCGCCTGGTCTACACGCATGACGGGGCCTCGAAACGCTACAAGACAGACGCGAGGCGCGCCACCAGTGCTGCCAGCCGCCACGCCTGCGCAGGCAGCGCCGCCCATGCTGCACGAGCCCGAGCGAGAGTCCTCGGCCCGAGCCTCCACGACCCACGCAGCGCCGCCCGTGCAAGCCGCGACGATGACGGCGACGGCCGCAGAAGCCCGAACAGAACTCGGTCGCAGGTGTCGCACGGCGCACGACTTGTGCGCCGTGGTCGCAGGGGCGCGTGGGCGGTGCACCCTCGGCGCCGCCCTCACGGCACTCAGGGTGAGTCGGATTTCGGATCGTGTTGTGTCACTTCTCGCTCGGTCTGCCCAGGCGCTGGTCTCGAGCGAAGCAAAGGGAACGCGGGCGCGAGCGGGCACTACCGAGGAGGCCATTCCGACTGGAGCTGACGGCTGGCCGACAAGCTTGACAGCCCTAGTGGACCAACGACGCATTGGAACCTGCACAAGCCAGGCCGGCAGATAGGAGCCCGACCTCCTCGGCATCACGAGAGACCGTCTGGCGTCGGTCTCCCCGTTTGCCCCCCTCGTGACGAAGACACATTGGGTTGATTGGAATTCTCAGGGCGCTGTGTCCCAGCGGTCTGCAATACCAGCTAGAGCAGCCTTTCCTCTGGCGGGTACGGACGGGCGGCTGCGAAGTTGGCGTGTTCGCACAGGCGTAAGTAGAGAAGGGTCGAACATTGGCGAAGGCCGCGTGACGCGCCTGCCAGATATGGGAGTTGCGGTTCGTGAGCCGACGCTGAAGCCGCCCTGGCCAGTTGCTGGACACACCACCGGCCAGCAGGCCTCTTAATTGTTTTTCTCACGCTACAGTCCCTGGCACGTGGCCCTCCCGTGAGTGTCTTGATTTGCAATGT